ATATTTATGTTTGTGGTTGTAATGTGACAAAATATGGAAAAGTCCAAGGGGTATGAATACTTTTGCAAACCACTGTATGTTGAAAAGGATTTGCAAATGATCATATTCTGTTTTTATGTTTTACACGACGTCCCAACTTCACTGGATTTTGGGGTTGTGGATTTGCATCCGATAAACGTCCCTCGTTTTTTTATTTTTTGGTCTGCAGACTCCTGACGGAGCGGTCGGAGCTGCCGTTCTGCGCCGAYGGTTCGTGGGCCGCCGGGGCTCGCGTGGAGAGGGACGGCTCGGGGCTCAGGACCGTCTGGAGCAGGCAGATCCAGCAGCTGAACAGAGTCAGCCCCGCCGTGGCCGCCACCGTGACCCGGTCCTTCCCGTCGCCTCAAGCGCTGCTGCAGGTAGCACAGGTCCTACCTGTTCGGTCCTGCGTTCCAAACAGCRGTCAGAGCGTTTGTTGTTTTCAGGCTTACMGGAAGTTGGGGTCGGAGGTGGAGAGGAGAGGGATGCTGAATGGTGTCGCAGTCCGAACCGAAGGGAAAGAAAGACGGATCGGCGCTGAGATTTCAGCCAGASTGTACCGATACTTCTCAGCCCAGAACCCTCAGCTGGTCCTGGACTAATCTGCGCACTTTAAAAACTTGAAACTTCACTTGAAGAAGATCAACCTACTGTATTCTTGGTGATGTTTACAAGCTAGCACTTTATGTAAATAAATACATATATATGAAATCTGGGAAAATTGAGATGCATGAGTGACTCTGTGAGCTGATGTGATTTGGGTATAAAATGAGCCACACCAGAAGTTTCTAGTTTTGATTTATTTTACAGAACAGCCTGAGTAAGAAAGCTTATATTCAAATAACTGTAAATAAGATATAAAAAAATAGTAGAAAAAAAAAACTCTTGTAAGAACGGACAGCCATCAAATGATTTACGGTGTTAAAAAGCGGCTCTTCTCTTGGAGTCTAGACCTGAGAATAAAACTATTATGTTGTTTTTCTTTTCCCTGTTTGGCTAATCTGCTGACAGGCGTAAGTTTAAATGTAAAAAATAATAATCTTAGCAAAATAAATTGGCTAAAACAGCCCTTTGATCACATTCTTACTCATGTTTCTCAGTTGAAGAAGAATCGATGCACTGAACGATGGCTCTGAGTGGCAGTGGGAGGAAAGCCGTGGACAATGTTTCGGGGAAAACGCCCTCGTCATGTCCAGCGACACCTCTTGCACTGATAATCCTCGGGCTCGGAGCAGCAGCTGTCGTAGTCGCTGCTCGGCGGCGTTGGGGGGCAGTGGCACGCTGCCGGGTGAGTCTGATGAGACGGGGGACAGGGGCAGTCGTAGAGGGGCGTGTCGGGGAACGGGTCGGGGCTGAGGGAGGCGCAGGCACTCAGGGTGGTGACGGGGCTGGAAGGCACGCTGGTCTGCTCGTCCGCATCCTGCTGGCAGGAATCAGAGAAGTACGTCTCCTCTGAAGAGTCGAGGTCGCTGCTGCTGCTGCAGCTGCTGAGGGTGAAGACCCAGCCCAGGTGGTTCTGCAGGAGGCTGCGCAGGCCCGGGGGCAGGTCCAGGGCGGTGACTACGTCTGGACAACGGGGCCACGTCTGGCGCAGCTGAGCACAGCAGAGGTACTGTAGGGAGGTGGGCGTGTAGCAGGCACGGATGACCTTCATGCTGCTCTTAGCTGCTGTGGAACACACCATGGGGTAGAACTTCTTGTTCTGCAGCCTGGTGGCTGCGACACCTGTCAGCAGAAAGAGGGACGGGTCCAGACTTTAAAGCAAAGAACCAGGCGTACAGACAAAATAAAAGATACCTCCTCCAAGAYGTCTAAACATCATCAATAGAACTGATCTGTTCTTAATAGAGACGAATTGGGGCCATAAAGTTTGGACAAAAAATAAACTGAAAGAAAAAAACTTTTTTTCTTTGTTTGTTTATGATTTTTTTCTTTTCAGTTTAAACACCAGGCCCTCCCTGGTTTAACGTGGGGGCGGTGAATGGAAAATCTTGACTGACAACTCAACACGTGACTAAACAAAATATTCCCAGCTGTAGCGTTCAGAAATTGGGAGAAGGAAATTTCTTTTCGTCTACTTACAAATCAACAACAAATGAAATGAAATTAAATGTCTTTCAAATGTCCTCAAATATTTATGTTGATGTAGCCTGGCCCTTGCCTTCCTACGCAGTTCTGCTCAATTCTAGTTTCCCTTCACTGCTCCGTCTGGGATTTCTCCCATAGAGAAGGATTTCTTCAGGAGAAATTTCGTCTGGGCCAATCAGAGAACAGAACATCGATTTTCTGTGCAGTGTCTGCTTGTAGTTTATTTTACCTGGGCCAATCAGCAAACAGAAGGAGGGGCTTTGAACGATATCAATTTTCTGTGCAGTGTCTGCTTGTAGTTTATTTTACCTGGGCCAATCAGCAAACAGAAGGCGGAGTTTTGAATGACGTTGATATTCTGCACAGTGCTAGTTAGTTCAGCAATGACAGTGGAGGAAGTGAATGAAGCCAGTCTGTGTTGATAAGGCTTCCAAATTAAATTAGTGACAAAGCAGCAGCTCTCATTTAGTCGTCTGGTTTGGCTCGGTATATTTCTCGTCTCAGTAGGGTTGTTTACAGCATTCACGATTTCCGGTTAGCTTCTTAGCTTAGCCTCCTTCACAGTGGAGCTTCGCACACATACGTCGCGGCCAACCAATCCAATCATTTTAAACTTCAGCAGAGGCCACGCCTCCAGCAAGAATCACTTCTCTATAGCCGAGAGTCAAGACCCTCGTACGATGCAAAGTGAAGGACAAGGGTCTGGTTTTTACCAGGCTAATGTCGATGTGACTGGTCTTGAAAAACTTYGTTCTTCATTGACATAAGCTGCTTATGTCACTACAAAATCATGGGGAAAAACATGATTTTCACAATCCCATAAACATTGAATATTTTTATGGTTCCTGAATGCAGCAGCTGGGAATATTTTGTCTTCTAGCCTCTATGGCTGTGTCC